AGAATTATATAAGCCATTGTATTCCCTATTATTATGTATGGATGTGAGAGATGGACAGTTAAGAAATGAGATAGGAAGAAAATCAATTTATTTGAGATGTGGTGCTGGAGAAGAGTGCTGAGTATCCAATGGACCACCAAAAGGACAAACAAATGGGTCCTAGAGCAGATCAAGCCAGAAATCTCTTTGGAAGCCAAGATGACAAAACTGAGGCTGTCTCGTACTTCAGACACATCACGAGAAGGGAAGTCTCTTTAGAAAAAAACAATAATAGGAATTATTGTTAGGAAAGGTGGAGGGAAGTAGAAAGAGAGGAAGGTTGCATGCTAGATGGATGGACTCTATTAAAGAGGACATGGGTATGACTTGCAGGAATTAAGGAGAGTAGTAGAGAATAGGGGGTCTTGGAGATATCTCATCCATAAGGTCGCCATGGGTCGAGATTAACTTGAGGACAGTTAACAACAACAAAAGTAGTGGTTCCAGGACTCCTCACAGATACCAAAATCCATGGATGCTCAAGTTCCATTCTATGCAATGGGGTAGTAAAATGGTGTCCATTATATAAAATGGCAAAATCGAGATTTGCTTTTTTGAATGTGTATCTTTTTGGAATATTTTCAAGCCATTGATGGTTGAATCCATGAAAAAGAATCTGTGGATACAGAGGGCTGACTGTACTGACAGAAGTTATTATTAAAGAAAGTTACTTTTTTGCACCACAGTTCCCATCTTTGCCCAGCAAGCATGACCACTGGGAAGAGATTCAGGCCCCTGGGCTCCTGAGCTTAGCCTTGTAATATCTCTGTTCAGAATGATCATATTTGACTCTGTGGAAGGACAAGGCCTCCCAAGACAGGAACATACTGCAGTGGCATATGTTTTGCAGATGCAAACAGCAGGGGAAGCCCAGTTCAGCCACCGCCCATCAATATGTGAAGAACTGAGCAAGTTGAATAAAGTGACTAACCTAAAAGTTGCCACCCGTAGTGACCAAGTGACTCCCATTGCTCTATAACAGTGGGACCATGCTGGGTGTTTATTTTGAACTTCAAAGGGGCTGTCTAAAAAGCTGATCCTCTTTCAGAAGGACCAATGCATTGGCGCTATTAGATGCCTCT